GAGTAACAATCGATGAAGACTTTTTTGTTGGTCGTCTTGATTTCTATCGAATTTTGGGCGAAAAACATACACTTGTCACTCACCTTTGTTTATTCAATGAGCTTAGAATTATTTCGCGTCATGACGTCGTACTAATTTTTGTGTTTTTCGTGATACAATGTTCAGACTCTCTCCATGTGATAGGCCGTTGCAAAAGTCGACAAGGGTGTTGGGATACTTTTTGATTTAGATTTTCGAAATTCATTGCCTTTCTCGAGATATTTGAGAGAATATGAATATCGGGATTAAAAAAAAATTCATCAAAATTAATACTTCTCCAACTTTTTCTTCCAGTGAAGGAGCAATTCTGAGTAACAATGTATACAGACTCTTTCGTTGATCGTCTTGATTCCTATCGAATTTCATCCTTCCAGTAAGAAGGCAATTCTGAGTAACGATGAAAAGAGACTTCTTCGTTGGTCGTCTTAATTATTATCAAATTTTTATTCTAATTTTTTTTATTCAATGAACTTAGAATTATTTCGCGTCATGACGTCCTACTAATTTTCTTGTTTTTCGTGATGTAATGTTCGGACAATCTCCATGTGGTAGGTCGATGCGGAAGTCGACAGGAGTGTAGGGGTATTTTTCGATTCAGATTTTCGATATTTAGTGCCGTTCTCGAAATATTTGGGAAAATATGAATATCGGGACTTTGAAAAATTTCATCAAAAATAAAACTTTTCCTTGTTTTTCAGTGTAGAGGCAATTTTGAGTAACAATTTATGAAGGCTTCGTCGTTGGTCGTCTTGATGTCTATCGATTTTGGGCGGAAAACAAACACTTGTCACCCACCTTTTCTCATTTAATGAATTTAGATTTATTTAGCGTCATGACGTCATACTAATTTTTTTGTTTCACGTGATACGGTGTTCGGACTTTCTCCATGTGGTAGGCCTTTGCGAAAGTCGACAAGGGTGTTGGAATATTTCTCGATTTATATTCTCGATGTTTTCTGCCTTTCCAGAAATATTTGAGGAAATATGAATATCGGAAATTGAAAAAATCTCATCAAGAATATTATTTTTCCAATTTTTTTTTTCCAGTAAAGAGGCAATTTTGATCAACAATGTATAAAGATTTTTTTGTTGATCGTCTTGATAACTATCGAATTTTGGGCAAAGAACATACAATTGTCACTCACCTTTTTTCTTCAATGAACTAAGAATTATTTCGCGTCATGACGTCGTACAAATATTTTTGTTTTTCGTGATTTAATGCTTGGGCTTTCTCCATGTGGTAGTTCGTTGCGGAAGTCGACAGAAAAATTGGTGTATTTGTCGATTCAGATTCTTGATATTTTGTGCCGTTCTCGAGATATTTGAGAAAATAAGAATATCGGGACTTAAAATAATACTTTTCCAATTTTCCTCTACCAGTGAAGAGGCAATTTTGAGTACCAATGTATAGAGACTTTTCCGTTGGTCGTCTTGATTTCTATCGATTTTTGGGCGAAAAACAAACACTTGTCACTCACTTCTTTTTTTCAATAAACTCAGAATTATTTCGCGTCATGACCTCGTACTAGTTTTTTTGTTTCTCCTGATACGGTGTTCGGACTTTCTCCATGTGATAGGCCTATGCGGAAGTCGACAATGTTGTTGGGGTATATTTTGATTCAGATTTTCGATATTTTGTGCCGTTCTCGAGATATTTGAGAAAATATGAATATCGGGAACAATTTATGAAGACTTTTTCGTTGGTTGTCTTGATGAAAACATACACTTGTCACTCACTTCTTTTTTTCAATGAACTTAGGATTATTTCGCGTCATGACGTCGTACTAATTTAATTGTTTTTCGTGATACGGTGTTCGGACTTTCTCCATGTGGTAGGCCTATGCGAAAGTCGACAATGGTGTTGGGTTATATTTCGATTTGGATTTTCGATATTTTGTGCCGTTCTCGAGATATTTGAGAAAATATGAATATCGGGAACAATTTATGAAGACTTTTCCGTTGGTCGTCTTGATTCCTATCGTATTTTTGGCAAAAAACATACACTTGTCACTCACTCCGTTTTTTTCAATGAACTCAGAAATATTTCGCGTCATGACGTCGTACTAATTTTTTTGTTTTTCGTGATGCGGTGTTCGGACTTTCTCCATGTGGTAAGCCTTTGCGAAAGTCGACAATACCATATACGATTACTTTGAACGGTATTCAACGAGTACAACAGGCAAATGAGGATACATCGACTTCATCGGTGTGCACACTGTATCTCTCTTTTCTATAATCTCACATGATTACTTCGGAGCAGAATAGATCGCAAAGACCATACAAGATGACATCGAAGCGGGAATAACGCACACAACAGACAGAAAATAAAACTTCGACTTCGACTATCTTCATTCTATCATCTCACATGTATACTTTCGGAACAGAATTGATCGCAAAGACCATATAACAGGATATTGAAGCGAGTGAAGCGCGCACAACAGACAGAACAAGAACCTTCTACGACTATGTTTACAGTGTGACTCTGCATTCTAGCATCTGATATACATACAGTTGGGGCAGATACGATCGCTCTGACCATATAAGAAGACTCAAAAGAATATATAACGACTAAAACAGGCAAATGAAGATACATCAACTTCATTGGTGTGCACACTGTATCTCTCTTTTCGATCATCTCACATGGATACTATTGGAGCAGAATAGATCGCATAGACCATATGAGTTGACATAGAAGAGGGTGAAACGCACACAGATGGCAAAAAAAGGAACTTCGTTTCCGACTACGTTTACACTGGGACCTGCATTCTGGCTTCTAACATGCATACAGATGAAGCATATAAGATCGCACCGACCATATAGAATGACTTCGAAGGGTATTCAACGAGTACAACAGGCAGATGAGGATACATCGACTTCATCGGTGTGCACACCATTCTATCAACTCACATGAATACTATTGGAGCAGAATAGATCGCGAAGACCATATTAGACGACATCGAAGCGATTTAAACGATCGCAACATCCAGGATGAGAAACTTCGAATATTTTTACGCTGTAACTCCACATTTCGGTTTCTGACTTGTATACTATTGCACTGACCATGTGAGACGACATTGAAAGGTATATAACGAGTACAACAGGCAAATGAAGATACGACGACTTCATTGGTGAGCACACTGTATCTCTGCATTCTATCATCCCACAATGATACCGATGAAGCAGATAAGTTGACAAAGACCATATAAAACGACATTCAAGCGGGTATAACTCACATAACAGGCCGAACAAGAAACTTCGACTTTGACTATGTTCACTCCGGGGCCTGCATTCAAGCTTCTGACATGCATACAGTTGGGGCAGATACCATCTCACTGACCATATAAAATGACTCTGTAGGGTATATAACGAGTACAACAGGCAAATGAAGATACATCGACTTCATCGGTGCGGACACTGTATCTCTCCATTTTATCATCCCACATGGATAACTCTTGAACAGAATAGATCGCATAGACCATATGGGATGACATAGAAGCGGGTATAACGCACACAACAGACAGAAAATGGAACTTTGACTGCGATTCTGTGTACACTGGAAATCTGTATTCTAGCTCCTGACATGCATACAGTTGTGGCATTAAAGATCGCACTGACCATATAGAATGACTTCGTAGGGTATTTAACGAGTACAACGGAAAGATGGGGATACATCGACTTCATCGGTGTGCACACTGTATCTCTTCTTCCATCTCACATGGAAACTATCAAAGTAAAACAGATCGCAAAGACCATTTAAGACGACATCGAAGTTATTTTGACGATCACAACATCCAGAATAAGGGTGTCGCGTCAATTGGACGCGGTCAATTGGACGCACGAAAATTGGACGCGGAAAATTGGACGCGGCGACAATTGGACGCGGCGACAATTGGACGCGGCGACAATTGGACGCGGCGACAATTGGACGCGGCGACAATTGGACGCGGCGACAATTGGACGCGACGAAAATTGGACGCGGCGACAATTGGACGCATGCGTAAATAAAAATAATTTTATAATTCCAATGAAATTCATTGTATAAAATATGAAATACTGATGGGCTCATATCCATAATTATAACAAATACCTATGGCCTCGTTTGACAATTATTTTCCTATCTCATATCGTAATATGAATTTTCCACGTCCAATTGACGCGAGGTTAGGTTAGGTTAGGTAGGTTAGGTTAGGTATTTGTTATATTATAGATATGAGCCCTGCATATTCCATGCAATAAATTTCATTGGAATTATAAAACTATTTTTATTCACGCATGCGTCCAATTGTCGCCGCGTCCAATATTCGTCGCGTCCAATTGTCGCCGCGTCCAATTGTCGCCGCGTCCAATTGTCGCCGCGTCCAATTGTCGCCGCGTCCAATTGTCGCCGCGTCCAATTGTCGCCGCGTCCAATTGTCGCCGCGTTCAATTATCTGCGTCCAATTTTCGTGCGTCCAATTATCCGCGTCCAATTGTCGGTAATCCCAGAATAAGAAACTTCGAGTATGTTCACACTGTGATTCTACATTCAAGTATCCTACTTGCATACTATCACACTGACCATAAGAGACGACTTTGAAAGGTATATAATGGGAACATCAGGCGAATGAAGATACAGCTTCTGCTCAGCTCTTGCTCAGGCATGGCAAGTGGATTCTAATCCGGTTTGATCATTATTTTCGAATCGAAACAGTTTGAAACAAATATTAAAAGTTATATGTACTTATGCACAATTGAAATCTCTATACAACTGTGCATACAAAGTGGTTGGTGATTATATCCTATAGTTGGATAATTGCAATTTCAAGCCAGTATAGTGTTAATCTATAAGTTGAGATACAGACAAAAACAGGACCACAAAAAACTATCTACTATCCTATACTGTGATGATAAGGAGCCGAGTTAAGAATATAGTGAACAGGTCCGGACTTGAAATATCTGATATCTGATTGGGAAAGTGTGAAAATGGGAATTCCTTTCAAATGTTGCAAGAATAAAGAATTCAGCAACCTATGCTGTATTAAATGTCTAGACGTCTATCATCCCTCTTGTATCGACAGAAAAAAATACAGCAAACAACTAGGAGGTCACAAGATATACTGCTCTGAAAGTTGTGAAAAACTCGACGCAGAAGAAAAGCGTCATAAAGACATTCTACAAGGAATAAATTCGAAACTGAAACAGGAGAATCATGAAAAGATGATGTTTATTGAAAAATTAGAAATTCAATCAATGGAAAGGGTAGAAGAACTACAACTTACTATTGATAAACTTACAGTTGAGATAAAAGAAAAAGATACTTATATCAAGAGGATACAACGCAGGACACAGGATTTTGAAAGTGAAATAGCTGAACAGGAAAACAGAGATGATCGAATATTCAAAGAACAAATGGATAAGATGACAAAATTGAATACAGAATTAAAAAATCTTAAACAAAAGGAATATATGTACGAAGAAGAAATTGAAACAAAAACCCTTATGGTACGCACTTTAGAGAATGATATAAAAGAACTGAATATTCTTAGCCGTAACATGGTGGAAACAATCAGAATAATAGAATTACAAAATGAAAGATATTGTAAGGAACTAACTGAGTTATCCAAAGAGCTAAACCAATATAAACAAGGTGATAGTCAATACAAAGCTGCGAGGGTAAAAACATCAAATGACAAAATGGTAATAGAAGAAATGCAGCTCGAACAAGTAGACGAACATCACGTGAAACGAAGAGACAATAGTTCAGAAACAATAAATAATGGAAAATTGAGGAAACTCGCACGGGTGGATAATGGTGTAAAGAATATGGAGGTTAGAAATGACAGTAAAATTGAATTTGGAACTAAACTCAAAGAAGACATCAAAAATAAAATATTGATACTAAGTGATCAGTACGGTCGAGGTTTGGGTAAAACTCTTCAATTTCATATGGGATGTACTACTGTCCAAACCATAACCAAACCTAACGCAAAGTATGAACATATTATCAACAATGCTGTGAAACTATCAGAGGACTTCACTTTAGCTGATAATATGGTAATCATAGCGGGGTACAATGACTTTCAACAAGGAAAATATCCTTCATTCAGGAACATTAATGATATTATATAGAAATGTACACATACTAATATCACCCTGGTATCTGTACCCTATGTAACAGATGGGGACTTCATGACTGAAACCAATATGTTCATTTATAAATTCAACACTAAGCTCTATGATTATGCCACTAGACTTAATAAATATGCTGAAGGTAGGGTGTCGTTTCTGGAATTGAACAATATAAATGGTAATAGGATGAACAGAACACAAATAATACAAAACATATACAAACTAGTTGAAAACAATGGATTCAAAGACATGACAAAAAATCTAGTATTTGCTGAAACATCCAAACATTTTTTTCACTTGAACAGAACGAACCAAAATCGAACATAAAGGACAATAATATTGAAACTGAATATTATAATAATCTTTCATCAAATTGCATTACAGTGACTGATAAGATTTTCCACTTGACATTTCTTGTACTTAATATTCAGTCTGTCAGGAACAAAATTGATGAACTATATATATTATTAGAGAAACATAAATTCCCCAAAATAATTTCATTGACCGAACACTGGCTGTATGATAATGAACAACTACATATTCCTGATTATTCAGTTATTTCCCTCTTCAGTAGAAAAACCTCTATCCATGGAGGAACAGCTATATTAGTTCATAACTCAATTTCAGATGAATTTACTTTTGACGCATTATCATTCGATGACTTACTTGAAAAAAAGCAATTCGAATTTTCTATAACTCATAGTAAAAAATTGAAAATGTATATATTATGTGTATACAGATCTCCAAAAACTAGCATCCCATTATTCATTACCAAATTGGATAATTTACTATCAAAAATACCTGCAACCAGTAATATTGTGTTGACTGGTGACCTCAATATTAATTATGAAGATATCGAAAATACCCAAGTCAAAGCTCTAGTCACTACTCTTGCCTGTTACAATCTAAGAATGCACGTCACGAAACCTACACGTATCAGCCAATACTCTGAAACTCTTATTGATTACTTCTGCACCACTGCAGAAGAAAACGATGTTTTTTGTGAAGTTAAACATGCTAATTTATCAGATCACGAAGTTATTATAGCTGAGATGAAATTGGAGCGAGCTGGGAATTTCAATGTGAAAAAATACAAATACGGTCGACTATTCAGTAGGAATAACTACACAAAATTCAAGTTACTGTGTGAAAATCATAATTGGTATTCCATTTTGTTAACAACAGATCCCTTCCGTGAATTCTATGAAGGTGTGAATAGATTATTTCAAGCCGCCTTTCCAAAACAAAAAATAAAAATAAGGACTAGAAAGCATTGGATAACCAAGGGAATAAGAATTTCTTCAAAAAATATGCATGCACTACATTTCATAAGAAAATATTATCAAGACCAGTTTTTCATAAATTACTTCAATAAATATAGGAAAATTTATAGATTGGTCATAAAAAAAGCCAAAGATATATATTACCTTTCAAGAATTGAAAACTCTTCAAACACTGCAAAGGAGACCTGGACTATTGTAAATGATCTGAGGGGAAAATCGACTCATAAGAATGCACAGACAACCATAAATCCTAATCATCTGAATTCATTTTACTGCAATATTGCCCAATCATTAACGCAAAACCTAAACTCTAATCAAGATCCCATTAATTTCCTTAAAGATGTCAATATAGTTACTCCTTGTTTATTTTATGAGACCAACCCAATCGAATTGAAAGAAGTATTTGCATCAATCAAAAAACAAAATGCCGCAGGAAACGATGAATTGTCAATAAAAATTTTCAAGAATCTTCCAGAATCAGCTTTACTCGTTCTTTCTATACTCATAAATGATAGTTTCAAGGAAGGTACGTTTCCTGATTTCCTGAAGACTAGTGTTGTAATTCCTATTCATAAAGGGGGGGACAGACAGGATCCATCCAACTTTAGGCCCATCTCTCTGATTCCAACCTTGGGAAAAGTAATTGAAAAACTTATAAAAATACGCTTAGTACGGTTTTTGGAGGATAACAAAATAGTTAGCAACGTACAATTTGGTTTTAGAAGCAATAAGAGTACATCAGATGCTATGTTCAACTGTATGGAAAGGGCATACACCAATCTCAATTCAGGTGAAAATGTAGCGGCGGTATTTTGTGACCTGACGAAAGCATTCGATTGCGTAAGTCATGGAGTACTGTTACGGAAGCTAGCTCATTACGGAGTCAGAGGCGTGGCTCTGAGATGGATGGAATCCTATCTTGCAGGTAGAAGACAATTTGTGAAAACTGATCAAACCTCAAATACAATGGAAATCACTTGGGGAGTACCTCAAGGCTCAGTATTAGGCCCCTATCTTTTCCTCCTATACGTCAATGATTTATCTCTTCTTGATATTTCTGGTTCCTTCACACTGTTTGCCGATGATACGACAGTTTTATGGCACTCCAAAGATTTGATGATGCTTCATGAAAGTATCACACAGGACTTGGAAAAAATTAAACTGTGGTGTGAATCGAATTTTCTATGTTTGAATCTCAATAAAACTAAGCTAATCACCTTCAAATGTATAATGCCAGAACTCCAATTAGGGATTACCACAGTACCATTTGAAACAAACATCAGATTTTTGGGCCTCAATATAGACAATAATTTGAAATTTAATACACACGTCTCAGGTCTGAAAGTGAAATTATCTTCTGGTTGCTTCGCTCTCAGGACTACAACTAGGGAGCTTGGATTCGCGGCAGCAAAAAATGTCTATTTCGCCCTCATAGAATCAAATCTGAGATATGCGATACAATTTTGGGGATCTTGCAGCAAAGAACTCTTCGATAGTGTATTTTTGTTGCAAAAACGTGCCGTGCGATACTTGTGTCAGGTTGAAAGATCGACCACTTGCAAGCCATATTTCCAGAAGTGTAAAATATTAACTCTCACATCATTATATATACTGGAAACCACATGTTTGATACACAAGAATAAATATTCATACATTAACCATAATCGCACAGCACGTAATGCAACAAATTTAGCCCTTATTATACCCAAATCCTCACTGATCAGAGATTCATTAATATACAATGGAGTAAAGATGTATAATAAACTCCCCATGGACATAAAAGCAATTGGGCCACTGAATATTTTCAGAAAAACTCTGCAAGAGAGATTAGCGTGTAAGGCATATTATGATCTCACAGAGTATTTCAATGACGAATCTCAACTATTGAGATTATAAGTGTTATAGTGTTGTATCTTTGTATTGTATATTATGTTTGATTGTTTTATAATGGAATAGGCTATGACAATACAAAAACTGTAATTATGAGGACTTAACAAATTGTCGTGTTTTAATACTTGTTTACTATAATTTTTTTTTTTTTTATTATTATTATTTTATACAAAGTGTTTGTCAATAAGATCATGTATCTTGGACAATAAACATATATTATCTCTCTCTCTCTCTCTCTCTCAGCGACATCATTGGTGAGCACACTGTATATCTGTATTCTATCATCCCACAATGATACTATTGAAGCGGATAAGTTGACAAATTACAGGCCGAACAAAAAACTTCATCTTCGACTATGTTCACACTGGAACCTACATTCTAGCTTATGACATGCTTACAGTTGGGGCAGATAAGATCTCACCGACAATATATGATAACTTTGAAGGGAATTCAACGAGTACAACAGGCGGGAACACCCAAATTACCAGAATGTTGAATCGCAGATCCGTAATCCATCAGAATATACATTTTCAAACCAGTAACTCAACAGAACTATATTTCATAGGAATCGTATTTATCTCTACTGTGGATGCACAGCATCGTAATCCCTCAAACCGTATTTTGTATACTGTACATGAGCATACCAGACAATAACAGATTGCAAATGCGCAGATGTGTATTTTTCTATAATAGCAATATCGCAGATCCGCAAATTTACAGAATCAAATACTTACAAACCAACATCACAGCGAAATGATATTTCGTCAGAATCATAACAACACCGTAATTCTTCAGAATCGCAGAATGACAGACCGCACATTAGCAGACCGTACTTCGTCAGAATCGAAATACAACGAACCGTTTATCGACAGAATAGTAAAATGTCAGAACCGTACATTGACAGAATAGCAAAAAATCAAAACAGCACATTCACAGAATCTCAAAATATCAGAACTGTAAATTGAAAGAATCGTGAAATGCTAAAACCGTACATCGACAGACTCGTAATACAACAGACCGTATTCCATCAGAATCATATTATATCAGAACGTACAATGACAGAATGTACTTCATCAGACTGTAATGTCATATATTGTATTCTGATAGAATCGTAAACTGTCAGTACCGTAATTCAGCAGAATAGTAAAATGTCGGATCCGTAAAATAACAGAATCGTAAAAATTCAGAACCGTTCATCGACAGAATCGTGAAATATAGGAACTGTACGTCAGCAGAACCGTAAAAAATCAAAATCGTACATTGGCAGAATCGGAAATCATCAGAATGTAATGCAGCAGAACCGTAAAATAACAGACTGCAGAGAGGCCTACCAGCTACGCACAGAGCGAACGCCGGTCACAGTGTTGCCTGCTCTCACGTCATGTGGGGATTCTACGTATACTTTCAGTTCGACCTGCTTTTATGTTCCTATTGCTCTTGTACACTCGAGAATAAGATCGTTCATATGATATGAAGTGATGAATGACCACATTTCAATATGAAATATATGAACGTTACCCAACTTTTTTGCTATATGGAGAAGAAAGTGATTATATGAAATATTTTCATAGAAACTACAATTCCTTGAAGTACGTTGAGAGAAGGGTTCGAGAAATAGGTGTTTGGAATGTTACAACAAACTTTGGAGTTCTCAAAGTTTGATCATAGATACAAGATATTGAATAATATAACCATCTAAATATATGTAATGTATGTATCTAAATTAATAATGACTGCATGCTCTTCATATAAATCTATATCATACCCAAATTCATTCATTTTGTATTTTGTACCCATATTTTTTGGAAAAGGAAGAAGGTGATACGA